TCTAGTCTAGTAGGCTGGAGGCCATCGCTACTAGGGTGAAAGCCATCGCTAGTAGGTTGGAGGCCATCGCTAGTAGGTTGGAGGCCATTCCTAGTAGGTTGGAGGCCATCGCTGCTAGGGTGGAGGCCATTCGTAGTAGGTTGGAGGGCCATGGTTAGTAGGTTGGAGGCCATTGCTATTGGGTTGGAGGCCATCGCTTTTCGGTTGACGTTTTTACAGTACGTGCGCTTGTACGACTTGCTTGACTTCACATGAGTTAGCTTGGAACATGTTACTTTATGCACTTCAATTACCTTGGATCTGGTGATTTCCTAGAATGGAGTTGTTGGAATTCACATCGTGTTTTTGCAATGTTTTTGTTTTCCGTGTTTTCTTGTTTTCAGGCTGTCTTTATCATGTTGATTTTGCCTCCCGATCTCGCATGGAACATGTAGATCGTCAGGGATAGTCAGAGGGGACCACCACCTGCGTCTTTGCTTTCCAAGGCACGAAAAACATCCACATCGAACACCATCACAGTGCAATGGGCAGCGCCTGCAGACAACGGCTGCCCAATGACCGGGTACCGCTTGTACCTCGATGAGAATCAAGACGGAGTGGCTGAACAGGAAATCTATCCAGGACCAGACCAGTTCTGTCGAACGTGTGTCGAATGACGTTGGTGAAGCAGCAAAGCAATACTTCTAAATGAAACATGAATGAAGATAGTATTTATATAATGGATTGCTTAATACAGGAAGAAGCCTTGGTGTTAGTTATTGCAGCATCGCCGTTTCGCCACGTTTCGCCAGGAGCTGGAGATGCTACAGATCCATTGGACAGCAGTAAGGGCCTCAAGTGACTAACCTCTCTTGAACCCATCAAGACAAGCAGTTCAATATGTATCGGAATGTGTCAGAGATCAATTTGTTTGTACATTCCAAGTTGGTAAATGAGTCAAGAGGTGTGACATGTTTGTTCTTTCTGAAAACATTTAAATGTTGGATCTTGATTCGAAGACTACTCTCCAACAATTGAGGGAGGATCGATTGCCAAATTGAGCCAGGAACGATTCAAAAGAAATCCTTTGGTGTCCTCCGGTGTTGAACTGTTGAACAAAAGAATAGCACGACAATGTGTCGTAAACAGGAACCTCAGTGGATCTCAGTGCTGACTTTTGTTGAAGGAAAACAACTTGGAAAACTGCGTACCACTAAACAGTGCATTTCAATTAACTGAGGCTCCATAGTGCAACATTGAATGAAAGGATTGGTGAAAATACTGGCTCCCAGAAAAGGATGGTTCAAAAAAGTATTTCAACATTTGAGTTTAGGGAAAGGGGAAGGAACTGACATTTGGCACAAAGAAGGTATCTCTGGAGTTCAATTCATTTCATCCCCACAAAACGGTTCTTTTGAGACAACGTGACAACGTGCTTTGTTTGTTCCATCACACATCTGCTCGATCGAGGCCTTGTGGCGAACGTACTCGAGTTCCAAAGGACAGGCCGGGAATCCCTGATCTGCGCAGACATGTCCGATATGGACACGTCCGATATGGTTGGTTTCTCGCTGTGGAAGCTGGTGGAAGCGACGAAAACGACGATGGTGGAAGCTCTTTGCAAAAAACCATGTTGCGTCCAAGACAGAAGGCTTCAGCAGTCATATGGAGTAACAAAAGGACCCACTACTCAGCTGTGAACCGTTGTTTTTTTTGTTGTATTTGGTTGTGTATACATGTTTTAATGTTAACTTGTGCATTGTATTGGTGTTTCTTTCTTTGAGGTCTTGTTGGTGGAACGATGTATGGTTTCAAACTTCGTGCTTACAATGGCCGCGGCTGGACGGAAAGCGACTGGTCCTACATCAAGGCGCTTCGGGTCCTGTTTGTTTTCCTTTATATCCTTTCATTCATGCCCCCCCTCCTTCTAATCCTTCTCCATGTTCCAGTTGATGTCTATGTGTGGTATGTGTTGGATGGTTTTTGGCTGTCCAGTGTCCTAGTATAGAATCATGTCACCATGTCTCTTAGTTACGATGTGACAAGAGCCAGAGTGAAGCACTGCCACGTTTGACGCTTCAAAAGAAGTACTGTGACCTGGCATTGCTCAGGCAGCAGGTGAGCCAGTGCAAATGGCAGCTCCGACACAGGAGATGGGAAGCATGCGAATCCTGCAGACGAGACGCATCCAACTTACCAACACGGAAACCTAATATTAATGGCATCCAATCTAATGGATCTAATCGCGATGGCCTCCAGCCTATTAGCGATGGCCTCCAACCTACTAGCGGTGGCCTCCACATTATGCGGTGTATTCTGCAGGAAGCCTCGTCAGGTAGCAGCACCACCATTGTCTTGGTGCCACCCTCAGCCTCGGGCAAGGTGGCATAGCGACATAGAATGAAGCAAGGAACAATTGAAGGTCCATATGTCTACTGTAATGGTCTAAAGAAGAAATACAGATTCAAAGGATTCAAAGAGACACGATATATTCAAAAAGGGTTGAAGGGACGATCGATGTTTTCATTCTTTGCGATGCAAGGCCTGGACGGTGCCGGACATGCAAGGTGGAACAGCAGTAGGCTTCAAGGCGATCCGATTTTGTGAGACCAGCAGGAGCAAGGGCATTACTAGTAGTAGCAAGAATGCTACTAATAGTTTCTTGTTACTAGTAGTAAGGCCAGGAGCTACTAAGTTACTAGTAGCGTCCGATCGCTCCGTTCGTAGCGATGCCCTTTTTTCTAGTAGCGTCCTTGTTCCTAGTTTCTTACATTTTCCTATTGGTTGATGAATTTCTTAATGTTTGATGTGAGACCAACTGGATTTGTTTCTATGTTGAGGTGTGCACCTGTTGCACCCGTAGGTTCTTAGTACTCGTAGGGGATGAGGGTAGTCTAGACCTAGCCGCTCTAGTAAGGACTCCCAAGATGTCCTAGCCCTCCCTTTTCAATAGAAGGTTTCTCAGTGGAAATTCAAGACAAACAGGCGCCATCAGCAGTTGCAGTATGTTGCAGTAGCAGTAGTGGCAAGTGGGATGTGATAGCATTTGTGGTTGTTTCTGTGAAGGAAGAGGCATAGCAACAGATACTCATACTGAAGTGCAAGCTTTGGTGCAGGCCTACAGAAACAATGGAGATGGCACTTCCATGAATTCCAACGCAGTTGGAACCTCAGACTGAGCAAGGCTTGATTGTAGTCTCGTGGCAATGATTTGCTGAGCAACAGGATTTGATACCTCCAAACTGAAGAGCTCTTTAGCGTTGATCAGGTTGATCAAACCATTCTAAACAGCCTTGTACTGCTGTTTTCACCCCAAGCCTCAAGAGCCGGGTGACTAGCCGTGCTGCAGCCGTGCAGCCGAGCGAACCGCTTGCTTCGTGCGAACCGCCACAGGATGCCACTTGCGGCATGGAGACCAAGCCTGCGCCGCAAACGTGTACCCTCACTGGTCTCATCACTGGCGAGACGTGCCTTCCGGCCTGCTTCGTCGCGTCTTCGCCTTCGGGGCCAGAACCGGAAGGACGAGAAGTCTAGTTGGGTCTGGAAGTAGTAACAAGAAGCTATTAGAATTAAAGTCAAAATTAAGTTACATTAATAGCTTTTTGTTACTACTAGTAAGGCACTTGTTACTACTAGCGTGGCACTTGTTACTACAAGAATGACAAATGAACACAGAGAAAAAGAATCATGACATTCTTAGGTGGCCTTATTTGTAGGAGGCCATCGCGTTTTTAGGTTGGAGGCCATCGCTATAATCGTGACATCTTAGATGGCCTTTGGCCTTAAATTGGTCTCTTATGTTGGTCTCTTTGGTCATCTCCGGCAGGGACCTGGGGGCAGGGGTGTCCACCACTTTCCACCCATCATTTATCCGGAAGTCTGATATTATAAAGTGTTGTTTTTTAATTTTAGGCTTCATCGATGATGTTTACATCAATTCTCGGGACATTGGCTGCCAGAAACTTAAGGCATCTCAAGCACCATTAGCGGCTTCCGCTGTACTGGCCTCTTCCATCCCACGTGGCGGGGGACAGCGCGGATGGCCGAATGGGGACATCACCTTCACGCTGTGGTGGCTCGCTCCCACCTCTATCTTGACTTCGCTGTTACCGCCTTCCACTAAAGCGTTTCTTTGGAAGATGACTTACTGGCCTCCAGTTTCAACTTGGCGAAAGCCACCAAGTGGACAGATGACGGCTTGACCACTCTTGTTCTGGGCTTTGCTTTGTGAGCCTTTGCTCTGGTGGACGGCGTCGACTTTGCGAGCAACCGCAATCACAACCCCTGGCAATTCACCATGTATCCTTGTGGGGAGAGGGGTTAAGCAGCGAAGCAGCGCTGCGTTCATAGCATATGAAGTGTGTAGGCAAGAACCAGATGCGAACACACACACACACAACACACAACACTGTTGTTCACAGCCAGTCAGCCGTGGGAGCCCGGGTCACGAGAGCAAATTGTGTGATCCATAGAGCTTGGATCAGGGCGATCCAAGGGGTATGGATCAGTGGCAGCGCGGAGCGGCACGCCCATTCATTGTTCTCTAAGACTCTAAAAATTGTATGTTCTTTGACAAATTTTTCCACAGATCTCTACATGCCCTTCAAAGTCCAAACAGTCCATTCATTTCTTTTCTTCGCGCAGCTACAGACTCTGTGTACCTCTTTTTGATCCTCCGAATGACCACAGACTCTGGGGACCCCAAACCCGAGATCCAACGAGCGGCCAGATACACCGTTCAAATGCTGGCCATCAACGACATCGGCGAAGGCCAAGAAACGACATGCCTTGCACGCGCGCGCGCGCGTGTGTTTGCGTGTTCTGTACGCAGACAAGGATTCCTTTAGATAGCCCATAGGAGAAAACAACACATGATGTTCATGCGTTTGAAACTTGAGCGTCCTTGTTACTAGTAATATGGCCAGGAGCCCCTAGTAGCTTCTTGTTCCTAGTAGCGATGCCCTTTGCTCCTAGTACTGGATTGGATTCATTGGATCAAAACCAGAAATTATCATCGCTTGGAGCTGATAGGTCCCCTTTCCACTGCTGCTACGCTCTATGCCGCGGCCACACCCGCGCAGATCACCGACCTTGTGTGGGGGGTCTTGGAAAAAGGTGAACAAAACACCGTTTTCGACAGTGACATGAGTGACATGGAGGGAAAATTACATGGACAGATAAATGGTAGAAAATCAGAACCACTCTGACTTAAAAAGGATGTGCAAATTCAATCCAATGCTGTTCAAACTGTGTTTTGAGAACAGATAAGATATTTGTTGACAGTTGCATCCTGTGCAAGTGCCTCATGCTGTTCTTTGCAGGGTAAGAGCCTAGATTTGGCCAGTTTTGCTGGCACATGCCTTTTTCTGGTACATGCCGGCCTCATCTAGCTGGATGCTAGCCTTGCGGATCTCATGATTTTAAGGAATACGGCCTCAGCCACCACACCATCGCTGACCTTCTCTTGGACGGCGCCTTCAAGCAATGGGCTTCGAACCTAAAGCAGTGGGATTATGCGATTTCGTTGATTTTGCAAGGAAACCTTTTTCAAGTCAGAGTTTTCTCTTCAGCCTTTTGCATTTCAGACGTTGAATAAGGGCCTTTATTTACAACTACCAGGGGGAAATGTACTATGTGACGGGAACAACAACACAGGCGTGCTTGACCGCATAATCGGGCGTGAAGTGGGCAATCCAGTGAATCCAGTGTCCAGAATATCCAACGGGTGATACTGTGCATGTTCTTGCCTAGTCAGTCTTTTTGCAGCCAGAACACATTGCGGAGTCCACTGAATTACTGTAATGCATTTGTTTTCATGCACTGAACGGCCTGAGCTAGCACTGCCCCACTCCTGGCATTTCCAGCCCAGCAGCCAGACATGGGATGCTGGTGGCACGCAAGCAGTGCCCTACACTACAACAACCGGCGTGACCCTAACTGGACTGGGCTTGATCGCGTCGGACGCTGAGAGTGCGTCTTGTAAAACGATATGTGTGAAAGTCTCAGACAAGACAGGAAAGAAGGGATACAAACTAAATCCAAATAAAGAGCAATATGTTCAAAAGAAGGAATGCCTTGGAGGCCCCGACCTAGGGTCATTGAAAGGCGCTTTAGCAAATAAGCTTTGAAGATGTAAAAGCTTTCAGATTCCAATGGCTCAGGGCAGAGCAGTACAAGTTCCGCGTGCGGGCTGTGAACAAAATGGGCAGCGGCACATGGTGTGGGGCTTATCGAAACTGCCACCCAGTTGATCAACTTGCTAGCTTTTGAACTTGCCTTGCCATGTTGGAAGATAATAAAAATGCGTACAAAAACATGTGCAATCAAAGCACAAGCGCCATGCGCTACAGTCGAGGTCTGAATGGTCGTCCCTGACGGACGCTCCACGCGGCTTTACACTCGATACTCCGACCACTCCGACGAACTTTGGAAGGTGGGCCGCGCGTTCGGCAGGAATCCACATTCGGCTCCTTTTGACCCTGCCTCCTTACTGAACTAAGTAGGTGCCGATACTTGAGGAGGTAGGCTTGGAGGTAAACTTCCAGGTGGGATGCGGGATTTCTTCACGCTTCCTTGAAGAAGCGCTCGCACTATTCACTTAGGTGCCTAATTTTCCCTTCGGATATCGATTTATCTTTGTTGCTAGGCACTCTGATCCTGCGGTCACCGGCACCATCAAGATTGGCCACGCCCTTGAATTCGAAAGAAGACTTTGAAAGATGGACGAACTGAACATGACGGTTTCTTAGAAATGGTTAAGCAGGACCCATGGAAGTCATGCATTGCTACGTGCTTCATTGCTCTTCGCCTCGTGAGGCTGGGACGCCATCACGACGGTCAACGATGCAGGTGGCGATGCAGTGGCTTCCGTGACCTATGAGGTCTATGCAGGTCCCACCACCGGCACCATGACGTCGCAGACCTTGGGATCACCCACCGACACCTTCTTCTCGAAGGCGCTCGAAGACGACGCGCGGCGTGAGTTCCGAACTGCGCGAGAAGTCACAGAGAAGTCACTCACAAGAAGCGGCAAAAACCAGGCCTCCAACCTACTAGCAATGGTGTCCAGTGTTTCCCAAGAAGAACTGAGGAAGGAGTCCGCAAGGAGGTCAAGCACACGTCCACGCCAGTACACCTTGTTTGGTAGACACAGAGAGGAACTGAGTGTTGGCGGAACTTTGTGCCTTGCTCATGGGGAGAACCTTGCTGTGTTGGAAACTGATTTGCTGTGCGAACCAAAGTTTTTGGATGCCCTCTGCAGGCGGTGGCAGCTGGTACCACCTACTACTTCCAGATGAGATCTGTCTGATGCCTATAGATACGTCAGTCGACAAAGCAGCAAGTTGAGAATGAGGAGGTGTCACTCTTTTCTTTCCGGCCAAGTGTCAGTTGACGACAGGACGACGGACGACGGCCACTGCGCGTTTGGTGACATGCCGAGGTCAACAGCGCTGGCTTGGGCTCTGCTTGGGCTGGACCGGTCGGCCTTGTCAGCGCCGAGGCTGGAGTGGGCTGCAACATGCTGTGTGACATGTTCCTAGTATAGCCAGGAGCCCCGTTCGTAGCTTCGTGTTGTTAGTAGTAAGAATGCTCCTAGTAGCGATGCCAGGAGCCCCGTTCGTAGCGTCCTAGTTTTTTGTTTTTAATCTTGGTGAGATGATGTGGAATGTATGGCAGTGATGCGTAAAGTGTGTGGCGTTTTCTTTGAGACTTCCTTGCTTCGGAGTGAGTCAAAGCTAAGACCCAAAACACTGACCAAGAGCGTTGTGGACCCAATCGGCCTGTGTAATTGGCCCGCGGTTGGACGGCCTTTTTTGTGGCAAAAAATGGCCGTGCGCAGCGGAGGTGCCTGGAGTGCCTACACTTGACTCGGTGACGAGTACAACATCGCAGCAGGCGATGTGTGGTGGTTTGGCGCTTTTCGATTGGCTTTCGTGTGTTACCAATTAGTAGCTTCCAGCTACTATAGTAATGGCCTCCAAGCTAGTAGCTTCTAGCTACGATGCCGTAGCTTCTACCCTCGATGCCTTTTTTCAGGTCGTGATGTCTTGGACTCCAAACGTCCCATCCTCAGTGACCTCGTGACTCTCGAGCTGAGCTCTTCATCTTTCACCTTGAGGCCTTCGATGGCAACTCAGTGATCCTCCATTATTTGGTAAGCACCGGTCTCAGCGCACGGTGTCTTTCTTCACGGTTCGTCAGGTTCGAACTGAAGACACCAAGGCAATGACAACTTCGTGGCCGACAGCCAGCAGGTGCTGGCATCCGGTTCACGCAGAAAGGGGCAGTCTGGTGGGGAAGACACACACAAGCACTGTGACAACACGCACAAGCACTGACCACATGCATTTCTTGCATACTGTGCACGTGGGGCATCGGATTTCGAGGTCCTTTCCACTCAGACGACCTACACCTACACGCTGCAGAATGCAGGCCTGCAGCCGATTTGATGCCTTTCAAGCTATGTGGTCAGGGCCGTGGCAGGTCAAAATCTTGTAACATGTGAGAACGCATCAGGTGCAACAGTTACGTACTACGTCAAGGCGGTCAATTCTGTGGGCGAGAGCCTAGCTCTTAGATGCCAAGACTCAAGAAAACCAAATCCGCTGGACTAGTAGGTTGGAGGCCATCGCTAGTAGGGTGGAGGCCATTGCTAGCAGGTTGGGGCCATTGCCAGCAGGTTGGAGGCCATTGCCAGCAGGTTGGAGGACATTTCTAGCAGGTTGGAGGCCATCGCTAGTAAGTTGGAGGCCATTGCCAGCAGGTT